ATCCTTCTGCCTCAGCCTTCCAAGTAGCCAGAACACAGGTGTGTACCACTTTGCCCAGCTAATTTTTGATTTATTGTAGAGGTGAGGTCTTGCCAAGTTGCCCAGACTGGTCTGGAACCCCTGGATTCAGGCAGTCCTCCCACCTCTACCTCCCAAAGTGCTGGGATTACAGACTTGCACTGCCATGCCCGACTTGATCTGATATCTTACACAATTGCATGTTTATTGTGCATCCCAACGTTGAATCTGAGGTAATCACCAAACCTGTGAAAGAATGGGAAGGTTTATCCCCTCCTGGGTGTGCTAGGTTCACTGAGGTAGCAGGGTTGAATTAAAGTCACAGGAGAAAGCAAGCCATTGGAAGGTTGCTTTCACTAGGGCCATGTCAGCCAGTCCATCAGGAGCAGGAACCATGGACCACTAGAGACTGAGGCTCCCAGAGAGGACGCTGAGGCTTGAAGGTGTGGAAAAACTGACCGAAGCATCTGTAGTCAAGCTGTGGCCAGTGTGTGATGGGGCCAGCTTAGACCAGAACGTTGTGGTCCTCACTGCAGCCACAGTTGCACTCAAGACCTCACTCCGTCGATAACACAAACCTGGATGGACAACTCTGCAAACCTCCTCCAGTTAATACTTTCTGGAAGAATGACACGAATTCACTTGCAGCCTGGGGACGGGCCTCTCAGGCCTTGCCTGGTCCTGGCACATCAGCCCCCTTTCTCTTCCAGCTGTTCGTTCCCTGTTCGGCCACACTTTTTAGGGAGAGGAATAGAGCGCACTCTTTACCACAGGCCGTGTTAGTTTTTGTCCTTATCGTTTGCCTTTCTCCCCCACCAAACTGTTCCAGAGAGAGGAAGGGTCTGCTCTCATCAGTGCTTCCCAAGGGGGCACCTTAATGCATGCTGTCAGGGCTCAGTGAACTGGCTTTATAATTTCTGTTTGCCCCTGTGCTTTCATGGCTCCATCAACTCCTGGTATAGGGACAGCCATGGGCTGGGCTGTGGCCTTCACCTCGGCACCCTGTAAGGGCTGCCTGGGAAGGGGAAAGAAAGGGGATTTTGCTGTGTTAGGCCATGTCCCCCAAAATTCATATGTCCACCTGGAACTTGAATGTTGACCTTATTTGCAAACAGGATCTTTGCAGATGTCACAAATTAAAGTGGGGTAGGAGTGAATTAGGGTAGGTCCCAGTCCAGTGACTGGTGTCCTTATAAAATAGCCAAGTGAAGACACAGGGAGAGAGTCCTGCGAAGACAGAGGCAGAAAGTGGAGTGATGTGGTCTGCAAGCTGAGGAATGCTGGCAACCACCAGAAGCTGGAGGAGACAAGAAAGCACTCCTCCCTAGATCCCCTGGAGGGAGCGTGGCCCTGCCAACACCTGGGTTTTGGATTTCTGCCTTCCAGAACTGGGAGAGAATAAGTTTCTGTTGTTCAAGACAGGGGTCCCCAACCCCTGTGCCACAAACCGGCACCAGTCTGTGACCTGCTAGGAACCAGGCCACACACCAAGAGGTGAGCTGTGGATGAGCCAGAGAAGTTTTACTTGTATCTACAGCCGTTCCCCATCGCTTCCATTACCTCCTGAACATCAGCAGCATTAGGTTCTCACAGGAGTGAAACCCTGTTGTGACCTGCACATGCGAGGGATTTAGGTTGTGTGCTGCTTATGAGAAGCTAATGTCTGAGGATCTGAGATGGAGCTGAGATAGTGATGCTAGTGCTGGGGAGTGGCTGCAAATGCAGATTAATATTAGCAGTGAGGTTTGAGTGCACAGAGACCATAATAAATCAGTTGCTTGGCTGGGCATGGTGGCTCATGCCTATAATTCCAACACTTTGGGAGACATAAGCGAGAGGATTGCCTGAGTCCACGGGTTTGAGACCAGCCTAGGCAACTTGGTGAGACCTCGTCTCTACAATAAATAAAAAACTTAGCTGGGTATGGTGATACACGACTGCATTTCCAGCTACTAGGAAGGCTGAGGTGGAAGGATCACCTAAACCCAGCAGGTCAAGGCTGCAGTGAGCAAGTGTGCCACTGCACTCCAGCCTGGACTACAGAATGAGACTCCAAGTTAAAAAAAAATCAACCGGGCTCGGTGGCTCAGGCTGTAATCCCGCGCCTTTGGGAGGCTGAGGTGAGTGAATTGCCTGAGCCTGCAGGTTCGAGACCCGCCTGGGCAACTTGGCGAGATCTCATCTCTACAATAAATCAAAAAATTATTAGCACACACCTGTAGTTCCAGCTACTTGGAAGGCTGAGGCGGAAGGATTGCTGGAGCCCAGCAGGTCAAGGCTGCGGTGGCTGGGAGCGGCCACTGCACTCCAGTCTGGGCGACAGAGTGAGACTACAACTCAAAAAAAAAAAAAATCAGTTGCTTGAGGACTTATATCAAAACTCTATCGCCGGGCTCTGTGGCTCACCCTGTAATCCCGCACCTTTGGGAGGCTGAGGTGAGTGGATTGCCTGAGCCCGTGCATTCGAGACCCGCCTGGGCAACTTGGCGAGACCTCATCTCTACAATAAATAAAAAAATCAGCCGGGCATGGTAGCGCACGCCTGTAGTTCCAGCTACTTGGAAGGCTGAGGTGGAAGGATTGCCAGAGCCCAGCAGGTCGAGGCTGCAGTGGCCAGGAGCGGCCACTGCACTCCAATCTGGGCAACAGAATGAGACTCCAACTCAAAAAAAAAAAAAAGAAATCAGGTTTTGCCCAAAATCATTTAGTTCCAAAGAGGACATGAGGGAGTTTCAGGAGGTGGAAGTTTCAAGGCCCCGGCAGCTAGGACTGCTGCCTCTTAGCAAGTTACTCCAGCAGCTATCTTGACCACACGAGCCTCAGGTTGCTCATCTGTAGAATGGGAGAGATGATAGAAACTGTCTCATAGGGTGTGTGAGTATTGCATGGTTGGTACAGAGTGAAGGTTTAAAAAGTAGTAGTTGGCTGGGTGCGGTGGCTCATGCCTATAATGCCAGCACTTTGGGAGGCCGAGGTGAGAGGATTACCTGAGCCCATGGGTTCAAGACCAGCCTGGGCAACTTGGCGAGAACTCATCTCTACAATGAAATAAAAAATTAGCCAGGCGTGGTAGAGCGCATCTGTAGTTCCAGCTACTTGGAAGGCTGAGGAGGAAGGATCACCTGAGCCCAGCAGGTAGAGCCTGTGGTGGCTGAGATCGTGCCACCGCACTCCAGCCTAGGTGACAGAGTGAGACTAACTCAAAAAATAAAAATAAATTGCCAGATGGGGGAGTTAGAACATACCTATAGTCCCAGCTACTCAGGAGGCTGAGGCAGAAGGATCGCTTGAGCCCAGGAGATTGAAGCTGCAGTGAGCTGGGATCACATCACTGCACTCTAACCTGGGCAAAAGAGTGAGACCCTGTCTCAAAAAACAAAAAAAGTATAAAATTAATTTTAAATAAATAAATTCAAGGCTGAGAAGTAGGCCTGTCTTTGTGATTTTTAAGCTCAACACCACAGAAATAATCAGCAGTGAGAACTGGAGCTGATACTTGGATCTGGCTGTTCTTTTTCCTGTTCATATTTATGTTACAGAGATCACAGTTGGTTCTCATCTGGACAAATGTCCCACTGTACTGTATGTGCCCTTGTATGTGCCACTGTATTGGAAGGGTTCAGATGGTCATGAGGGGTGGCCCCCAGAGAAGGTAGCACACTTAGCCTGGAACCTAGAGGCTCCTCTGCTCTTTGAGAGGACCAGGGCCCCCAGGCCCTTCTGCCTCCGAGGCCTGGAGGTTCGGCCTGATGTTGAAGGGCTCTCTGTCAGGAAGAGGCGCTGATGCTGGCAGGCTGGCTGGCTTTCCTCCTTTATGACAGTCTACTCAGGAGCGGGGTCATCAGGGTCATTAGCAGACAGATGAAGGCAATGGCTTCATAAGAATGGACTTCAGGGCAACCCCCTCCGGTCCTCTCCTGCTCTAGGATCTTTTCTGTCCTCTCGATAAATCCTGCTTTCTCAAAAAAAAAAAAGTTTTATTAAAAAAAAACAAAATGGACTTCAGGCCGGGTGCAGTAGCTCTTGGCATGATTCCAGCAGCTCAGGAGGCTGAGAGGTGGGAGCATTGCTTGAGGGCAGGAGTTCAAGGCTAGCCTAAACAATACAGTGAGACTTTTGTCTCTAAAAATATTTTATTTTATTTTATTTATTTCTTTATTTTTTTTGAGTTGGAGTCTCACTCTGTTGTCCAGGCCGGAGGGCAGTGACACGCTCCCAGCCACCTCGGCCTCGACCAGCTGGGCTCAGGCGATCCTTCCGCTTCAGCCTTCCAAGTAGCTGGAACTAAAGGCGAGCGCCACCACGCCCGGCTAGTTTTTGATTTATTGTAGAGATGAGGTCTCACCAAGTTGCCCAGGCGGGTCTTGAATCCTTGGGCTCAGGCAATCCTTTCTCCTCGGCCTCCCAAAGAGCTGAGATACAAGCTTGAACCACTGTGCCTGGCCTTCTAAAAATATATTTTTTAATTAGTTGGTCATAGTGGTGCTTTCCTGTCGTTTCAGCTACTTGGGAGGCTGAGGTGGGAGGATTGCTTTAGCCCAGGAGTTTGAGGCTGCAGCGAGCTATGACTGTGACACTGCACTCCAGCCTGGGTGACAAAGTGAAATTCCATCTACTAAAAAAAAGGCTGGGTGTGGTGGCTCACACTTATAATTCCAGCACTTTGGGAGGCCGAGGCAAGAGGATTGCCTGAGCTCAGGGGTTCAGCACCAGCCCGAGCAACATGGTGAGACCTAGTCTCTACAAGAAATCAAAAAATTAGCTGGGTGTGGTGGCGCTCGCAGTGGTTCCAACTACTTGGAAGGCTGAGGCGGAAGGATCGCCTGAGCCCCGCAGGTCAAGGCTGCGGTGACCATGAGCACGCCACTGTGCTCCAGCCTGGGCGACAGAGTGAGACTCCAACTCAGAAAAAAAAGCAGCCTCCCACCTGCCGCGCTGCCTCTGCCCTCTGGCCTGGAACTCCAGCCTTGCCTGGGCTCGACATGGACACCGCCGGTGGCGCCTGTGCCTGTGCTGGCTTCTGCAAGTGCAAAGAGTGTAGATGTGCATCCTGCAAGAAGACCTACTGCCCCGTGGGCTGTGCCACGTGTGCCCAGGGCTGCATCTGCAAAGGGGCATCGGACAAGTGCAGCTGCTATGCCTGACATCGGTAGAGCCTGATCGTAGATGAAGAAGGGACCGTGTATATAGACCTGGATTTTTTAAATACAACCATGACCCTTTTGCTACATTTATTTTTTCTATAAAATATGTGAATCACAGTAAAAGTTTTCTTGACTTAAAAAAAAAAAAGCTGCTCTTACCTGGCCAGGAAGTGGAGGCATCACTGAGACTGCTGACACCTGCAAAGTCAGAGGTCGTGCAGAGTGATGGAATGAGAGAGTGCAGGTGCTGAATGTCTTTGGGCGAAAATGTCAGTTTATGGGCTTGTCCCCAGTGAGGCATTCTGTTTTTCATTTTGTCACACCTGTTGTCATCAGTCCTGCTGATTCTTCATCCTGTCATCATAACGAGATTTTCTTTCCTGTGTTACCCTTTAGAGTGAAGTCCAAGGATAGTGCCTTGAGAGAATTCCAGAATGTTCTCCGAGTCACTTGAATGTTCCCAGTCACATGCTGGGTTTTTCTAACAGGAGGTTTTCATGGATGCCACAAGAATTGGATGGAGAAGTGTCAGGAGATAGGGTGGGACCCAGTGTTTGGCCGTGTTCCTGAGTTCCATAATTCTTTTCTTTTTTTTTTTTGAGTTGGAGTCTCACTCTGTCGCCCAGACTAGAGTGCAGTGTCCCCTCCCGGCCACCGCAGCCTCGACCTGCTGGGCTCCGGCGATCCTTCCGCCTCCACCTTCCACATAGCTGGAACTACAGGCGCGCCACAATTATTTCTTAACCACTCTCAAAACAATACCAGCCATGCAACTTCTGGGCATTTTCCCCACTGATATGTTTGTGCAAGAGTACAAGGAAACAGAGGAGTGACTGTCAGTTGTAGGAATGTTCAGTAGATCTGAAATCTATCATGGAGTTCCAGGCAATCGTTAAGAAGGAGGCTCTAGTTTAAAAAGGTTTCTCTATGCTGCTGTGGAATAAGGTAGATTACTAAGGAGAGAAAAAGCAAGGGGAAGAACAGTGTCACTGTGTGATCTATTTGTGTAAAAATACACACCTTATGGATGCTTACAAATGTTCTGAAAAAATATATGCCCAAATAATTAAAAGAGGTTGTATCTGGGGGGGGAGGGGACAGGAGGAGAGGAAAGAAACTTACGTTTTTCATTTTATTTACCTCTGTATGTTTGAATTTTTTATAGTGCAAATGTTATTTTTATGATTTAAAAAAGCCAGTTACAGTCATTCAGGGTTTCCTTAAGTAATATGGCCTGATATTTTGTTCCACTGTGGTGAGAAGGTTCTGTGTTCCCAATGTCTGTCCCTCCGCATGTTGTATGGGAGGTGATCCAGAGGCTGGATGCTTCTTACGTCACTTTCTCCTGGGGGAAGCTTGGGCTTGACCCTGACACTTCCAAAACTCTTTCTTTATTTGTAGGATGGACTAGTTGAGCCTGCTTCACCTCCCTCATGAACTGTTCATGTTGGAGGGTTTTTTGAAAATGGAAAAGCACAAATTTAAGGCCAGATATTTGAAAATTGTCATTTTAAGGACTTTTTTTTTTTTAAAGAGAAGTAATTAAGATCAGGTGTGTTAGTTACCTAGAACTGCTGTAACAAAGTACCACAAACTGGGGGTTTCAAACAGAAATTTAATCTTTCGCAGTTCTAGAGGCCAGAAGCCTGAAATCCAGGTGTTAGCCCTCTCTGAAAGCTCTAGGGGAAGATTCTCCCTTGCTTTTTTCAGCTTCTAATGGTAGCCAGCAATCCTTGGTGTTCTTTGACTTGTACATACAGCACTCCAATCTCTGTCTTCACATGGCCTTTGTCTCTGTGCAAATTTCTCTGTTACAAGGATATCAGTCCCTCCTAATTCAGTATGACCTTATCTTAACTGATTACATTTGCAAAGACTGTACTTCTAAATAAGACCCCATTCCCATGTATGAGGGGTGAGGATGTGGACGTGTCTTTCTGGGGCTGCCCACCACCCTTCCTATCAAAGAAGTGTTTGGAATTGCCACTTTGATAATTGGATGATTGCTAGACATAATGGCTCACACCTCTACTTCTAGCTACTCAGGAGGCTGAGGTGAGAAGATTGCTTGAGCCCAGGAGTTTGAGACGAGCCTGGTTGATATAGTAAGACCCCAAGTAAAAAAAGAATTGATGTAAAATCTAGAATTATAAGCCAGATGTGGTGGCTCATGCCTGAAATCCCATCTCTTTGGGAGGCAAAGGCAAGAGGATTGCCTGAGCTCACCGGTTTGAGACTAGCCTGGGCAACTTGGCAAGACCTTGTCTCTACAATAAACCAAAAAATTACGTGGGTGTGGTGGCACATACCTGTAGTTATAGCTACTTGGAAGGTTGAGGCGGAAGGATCGCTTGAGCCCAGCAGGTCAAGGCTGCAATGGCCATGAGTGTGCCACTGCACTCCAGCCTGGGTAACAGAGTAAGACTCCGACTCAAAAAAAAAGAAAATCTAGAATTATGAACTTCCTCGTGAAATAGAATTTCAGATGAAGTTTCAGAACAGAACATTCTACACTGGAAAACTTCAAAGTTAATTATTAGTTCAAATGCCTACCCTCCAAATGGGTGTGTTTGTTATCTAGTAATGGGTAGCCATGCTAGCTTTTCTTTTGCTTTATGAACATCTGTTTTTGACGTTTCTTTTCTTTTTTTTTTTTTTGAGTTGGAGTCTCACTCCATCGCCCAGGCTGGAGTGCAG